GTAGGTTAATTCCTCATTGCATCATGTCAGCTAACTAGCGATCTAAAGACATCTCAACCTTTTTGTGTTGCTTTGTTTTGAGTTCAAAATTCCTGTCTCATATGCAGCATCATAAGGTGTGTAAGTACCCTTGTCTTGTAGTAAACAAAATAGTATAGAAAACATTGTTCTACTCATTCTTGTAAATTTTTCGTGACATAACAAGGACACTGTTTAAGTGAGTAATTCTGTGGTGAACATCTCTTGCACCTCAAAAATATTGTTTGAAGCAAGTATCGTTAAAATGATATTAAAATTGATGATATCAGTGAAAAATGCTTTAAAAATAATGTAAAAATGTAAAAAATTACTTATTAGTCGAAATCAACAAATAATGCAAAAAAATCACCTATAAAAATGGGTTATTTCATTTTGTCATAAAATGAAATGAATTTCTATTCTTAACAGCATTTTTTGTAAGTAATTTTTTGAAAAATTACTTTCATTAAAATCCACCCCTTAGATATAACACCAGTTTATATTCATCCATGCCAGTTGAATTACTATTTTCTTTTGCAGGATTCATACATTTGCCAACTAGGAGTTCTAATAATTTGTTTGAAAAAATTCGTGGTTTTAAATTAACAATTTCTTTGTGTTAGACATATTTTTGATATAATTTTATATGGTTACAATGCATTACAATAGTTATTGTTGAGAAAATTGTCTGTCAATTGCCACCTTATTGTAATTGACAATTATAGTATATTATTGCCATAAAGCATATAATGTACAAAATTATCATATATTTACAGTATATTGAATATTTGAAGTATTAAATACGTATGTATTTGGCACATTAAGTCCTTATTTATTTTGTGTATGTATTTAAATACCTTATAAAGTATTTTAGCCAAATACTTTATACTAAATAAATACTAAAATATCATCCTGATATCAAAAAACGTTTTTCAAAATGACCATCCAACTATGAAGCACCTATAAACTACTTCCAAATGAATATTCCCTGATTGATATGGCCCTATTCGAAGCCCTGTGATTTTGAAAATAATTCTTTGAATTTTGGGGATACTTTAGGTGAGGCCACCTGGGACATTTTCAAAATTTTTTCTAAGGGTTCAGTTTTTTACTCTTGTAAGAGTAAATGAAATTCACTTTGGCATCTGATTTTCACTGACGTGAATTTTCTAAAATTTCAAACTTTTCAAATTTATTGTACCTCCTCATACAACTGTATTATTGTAGAGAGGGATTTTTTTTCTTCTAATAAAATGTTCTCCACAATTAATTCTCTAATTAATGTCGTGAGTAATTAAAAAAAATAATAGTTTTCAGGCAATTTTGAGTGCAATATAGGCTATATTAAAAACATGGTTTTCTCAAAAATTGCTCTAATTTTTTTATTTTTTATTTTAACTTTTTGTATTTTTAGTGCTAAATGCACTGAATAACATGACTTAAATATATATCTTTTTTTTTTATGTGCTTTATATAATTTCTTACTGATTTTGCTGGATACTTTCTATGAATTGGAGGTTTTCTGTAATAATGAGCTCAAAATTTCATGATTTCAGTCATGTTCAATTGACGTTTTTTCAAAAAAGTCTCCATATTTTTCGGGGAAACTAGTTTGAAAACGTATACAAAGCAAAATGAGACTAATATGACAATATTGTGGCACCAGTATTTTTTATTTCTGTTATTCATGTTGAATGTAAACTGCATCAGAATGTTTTTATGGCATCCTCTTATTATCTTTGTCACCAAAGAGACAACAGCAATAATATGTCTACCCAAGTTTTGAATGTTTGTGGCCCAGATTGATCCTACAGAGTATAGTGCGATTAGAGAAGATTGAAAACTTGGAAAGAAATCTCATGGAATAAAAATTACCCCTGAATGGTTTAGGGGAAAAAAATGTAATGTATTTGGAAGGGTTTTGGTACCTATTAGGTTTGAATTCCACTCAAATAATATTGGAGAACACATTTCCATTCATATTAACGCACCATTGTAAATTGTGTTTATGTGAAAATCATACCCTCCGGTCAGATGATGTATGATACAAAATTTCCTTTGAAGAACGTTATGAGATTGGTTTCAGTTAAATTGAAATTTGATTTTTTTTTTTTTCCTCCCATTTGCTGTTAATAAAATATTTAAACATGAATCAATCAATTTTTATGAGCATTCATGATTTTCTTTCATATATTAGATAGATAACACTTGAATTTGATTTTGTTTAGGTTCTAAAAAGATACCCATGGTTATGGGGCATGGACAAGCATCCTAAAAAGCGCCCAAAGCTATATATTGTTAACTTGCAATGGACTCCAAAGGATGACCAAGCCGTTCTTAAAATCAATGGTAGGTGGCTGGAAATAGTATCATAGAGAGAGAAAATTATATATTTTTATTGTTATCTTGAAATGCTTTTTAAATGTTAATCCATAGGTTTTATAAATATAAAAATAACATTTGTAAATATGTTGCATTTATTGACTTAATTGGATTTTTATGATGGTTTTCAGCAAGATGTGATTCTGTTATGGAGCAAGTTATGCAAATTCTTCAATTAGATATTCCCAAATACAATCGTTTAATGGACCCTATTTTTGTTCATGCCACTTCTTTAAATCCTGCTGAGACACATACAACCACAAAGCCTCTGCTTACTGCTCCGCTCAATAAATTTGCTTCCACTCCTGAACAAATTTCTCAAGAAATTTTATCAGTAGTAAAACATGAAAAAAACAATGTGTCTTCCAGTCAAATAAATCAGGAGCTAGATGTTCCCATCAGTTCAGTAAAACCGGAAAATAAGAATGAAAACTGTGTTGCTGAGAACATATGTAAAATGCACTTGGTGGAAGAAAAACGCGAATGTCAAACTCACAATTTTAACAGAGAGGTCTCAAAATCTTCCTGTATGATATGTGTTTCTGATCCATTAATTATTGTGAAAAAGGAGTTGTGCCCATCAGAAATTGTACGTGAATCACATGCAATAGAAGAAGCTATTAGGGGAGGCAGTAATTTTAGAAGTGGGAATGAAAGCATTAAACATTCTTCAAATGACTCTCCCTTCTCAGGGAATTCAAAACACAGACCTACAAAAAATAAATATGGTTCCAGCTTTCATGAAGACCTACAAGTAAAGAGAGAATTCATTGCTGAAAATGCATCATATGACGAACCTTTTATGGACATTATCTATGAAGGAGTGAAATTAAAAGTGGAAGAAAATGTGTCAGTTGATGCTAACGTGAAAATTAATAACGACATGTTAATACTATGTGATACACCTAGTATTCATTGTAATTCATTTATATTTAATTCCTCATATGAGTTTGAAGAGTCAGATAATGATTTTAAATTTGTTAATGTTAATAATTCAAGCTCATTGAATGATTCTGATTTGTGCACATACAGAATAAGTGAAAGCAGTAACTCAATGTCAAATAATGCTGGTATAAATGATGAAGAATATAAACATGGAAAAAAGATGCTTTCATTTTTTTACTCTAATGAACACAATTACAGTCAATCTACATCTGCTCATGAATACAGCTCAGATAATCAAATCAGAGGTGCCAGTTCTTCACAGATTAAAACTCAGGTCCAAGATAAATGTTCTTCCCACTCAGCAAACAGTCAAAAGGAATCACCCCGTAAGTGTGTGTGTTGCAGTGCATGGTATGGTGCGAGTGATTGCCTCTTCTACCTCCCAGTGGAGCCAGTATTTCAAGATAGGACTGCTGGTGTATGCGAGTGTTGTTCAGATGACAGTGAAGAGGAAGAAGACATCGAAGACAATGAGAAGAAGGAGAACAAGGACGAAATGTGCAACCCTGTTAAACCAGTAACAAATCCGGGATGGTACGGAAAGGGATATCGGAAACGGATTAAGAAGAAAAGATAGCATTACAAGTTTTGCGAGACAATTTATTTGCTCAAGGTATATATAAATAGAATTATAATGAGTGGTAGGTGTAGACCAGCCCCCTCAATTCTCCTATCCTTCCCATGTTAAATGCATTTCATGAGCAATTACAGAATCTATTAGGAACAAAATGCTCACTCAGTCTTGTGTAACACTGTGCTGAGTTAGAAATTATAATCAACGACTTTTCATTCAGACGTCATGACGGTGTTGTAACATTAGATATTATATTGACTATTGTTTAACCCATTCTCATGGGCCCATTTGCACTTGTTTCAATGAAAGATCAGGCTTATGTTGCCACAACATCAACTAGCTGGGTGAACTCTGCTGCTTTTGGCACTTGAAGGCTTATGCACTTTGGCAGCACAAACACAAGTAAAGAGTCTATGCCATCTTTAGAAACCTTGCTGTTAAGGGAGAAAATCTTAAATGTGAATATAAAGCATGCAACAAATAAAAAGTAACAATGCCATATTGATCGAAGGCAGAATCCAATGCTGAAGGGTTAAAATGTATAACCTGTTTAAAAAATTATTTTTATCTAATTACCGGGAATTTTATTTTCAATTTCTACTTCATAGAAGACAATGAAAGTAGATAAATGGGGCCTAAAGTATGTTAACATGACACAGAAAATTCTAGGTAGATATAATGAGCAACATTGCATTCCAAAGAATACTAGGATAATACTGTCTGTTCATTGTACCAGAAAATAAAATAGCAGAATTTTCTTTGACTGAGTGACATTATTGCTGCCTACTGGATTTCTTTATACTTGAAATGTAAAACTACTTTGAAGGGGCCTGGTGTAGACCATACATGTATTTATTACAAATGGCCTAAAGTGTGAGCAGTATTTTGCAATAGTTATGTTCCATAAATAAATGCTCTTAATTGTTATCCTTTAATGCCAATTTCAATTGGTTTTCTGGAAACCTTAAAGTACAAATGACAAAATTACAATGTAGACTGCATGAATTCCAGTTATTTATTACCAAAATGAAGTTGGTTTAAAATATTATTTTTATTTCTTAAATGATTATATATGTTTACATTGTTTTAATACAAATCTAGATGTCAAAAATAAATTTTCATATCATCTGTATATCAGTCTGAGTAGTTGTTAGAGAGATTCGTTTACAATGCAACTGAATGTAAATAATGCTGTCAATCTATTGAAAAATGGTTAGCTCTCTTTTTTTTATGTCAAAATTCATTTTAAAGGACATGAAATGACAAAAGCATGGAAATGTACATACTGAAAATAAAAGGGGGTCGGTTTTACAGAAATATGTTAAAATTTATCAAATTAGTAGACAATTTATCATATTAGTAAACACACATCTGTATGTAGGCACTTAATTGGGGAAGCCGACATGTTCTTATATTTTATCGTGTCCAGATTGCTCAGTATATCAGATGCCTGTGAATCTTAGATGTTGAACTACTTTGCCTCTTGGTGCCTGGCAATGTTTTAAATTCTTAGAATTGGTTTCAAAGGCAGAGAATAAGAAGAAATTGTAAGTGGGTGTTTGTTTTTTTATGAAATGCATGCTACCATTCTAAGGTTCTGCAGAGATAACTTTCCAAAGTTGAATTCAAGGAACCCAAAATGTCATATTCACGATGATTTGAAATTGATAGTGAATGACTGCAGGAGCTACTGGAGAATCGTTTAAAAGGAAAATGTTGGAATAATAAAATGATATAATGGAAGTTAGTGAAGTTAAAAATATTGATTAATATTCTGCAGATTTTAGGCTCTAAAACTTTCCATTTTAAGTGCCTAAAAAGGCTCCTAAGAAGCGAAAATAGATATAAATTCGTAAAAAGGCATTATACATTGAGATGAAAATAACTTTTTAAAAAAAAGTTTTTTCAAGCAGTTTTATTGGCACTATTATTTAAATGGTTATTTTTCTCATATAAAACAAGGAAGCAACAAGAATCAGAGTCAGTATACTGTCACCATTTGTTCTAAAGGGATGCAATTCACCATACACTGTTCTAACAACTGCTACACAGTGTTGAGTTTAATGAAATTAATACTTACTTATCTCTTGTGAGCATGAGGTTGAAAATAATGACTTGTCAGTGTTTTGTTAAACACTCAAATTCACTTATCCACTTACTATATATTCAGTGGTTCAATTATAACATTTCCTAATTTATTATTATTTCCACAAAAGTTGAAAACAAATAATTTTAATTCATTACTAAGAATATTTGTGTGCCATGACATTAAAAAATTTATTTGACCCAAGGTAAAATTGTAAATACCTAAGGTACATATGTAAGTTGGACAAATTTTTGAGAACTATAGATGTCCAAGATAAATAGGTTTTACTATAGTTAGGCCTTCGTTTTTATAATTGCTATGCGTATAATTCCAATAATAGGTAATAATAAGTCCAATGATAGTTAATGTATTTTTTTTTAGAAGTAAGTTATTCTACTTTCAAAATGTTTCTTGAATTATCTATTTTATACTTCAATCATCAAATCTTTAGATCTTTTGTATTGATCCATGAACCTAATGTGAGATAGAGAAATTAACACGTTTCTTTTTATGTATTTTTTTATTCATTTCTAGACAATGAACGATTCATAGTTACTCTTCCAATCTTGTACGTTAATGCTTCTGTCACTGGAATTAAAATAATATCACATATTTTGTTTTCTCGGCAGGGAAATTATTGTCAATACCCTGTGCAAATCCTTTGTTTCTCCACTGTGCTCGGCCCTTTGTCTTCCTGATTTATTATTAATGTCAAGCAAGCTGCTACACTTTTAACATTTTTCTGTATTGTTGATTCAGTGAAACCAAAAAACTTCTTGAGGGTTCATTTTCATCGTATTTGAATCTGCAACAGGCCACTTGTATATATAAGTTGTCAATATTTGATCCAATGTTTGTGTGGATTATAATTCTATTATGCTATTATTCATCTCAACCTTTTTCAGAAAAAAGTTAAATAGTTAACTATCATCTTACCTCATATCTTTGCTTGCATTAAAAAATTATCCTCAAAACATGAATGTGGTTATGTGTAATCTCAGAAAGCTTAAATAAGATTTCTGAACTTTTCCATTGCTTGGACAAGTTTCTAATTTTCTGTTCTTCTAAAATCACATACTTCAAGAGTGCAAGATGGAAATATTCTTTACCATTTTGTTTTATAATCTTTGCCTACCAAAATAAGGTCAATGATATTGTAACAGTGCTGCTGGTTTTAACATTGTTTGATGTTAATTTCCAAAATCTCTAGATTTCTCCTTCTCAAATTTTCACTAAGCTAAAAAAAAAGAAAAAAAATGTGTATAATTTTTCAAGCAAATCTTTAGTATCTAGTATCTCAATTTTGAAAAATTGTGAGGTTTTAATGAATACCATACTTTTAATTTACAAGCACATTGCCCTGTTTTGAACCAAAACTTGTAAAGAAATAGTTTTGAATCATTTGTGAAAAAATTACGTAGTTGCACTAGAAGCTTCATATGAAGTTCCCCCCAAATTTAATATGTGGATTTCAAATTCACTAGGCATTGATTGATTGGTGATCATTAGTCCCACAAGTGTTGTGCATGTTTTTATCTCGGTAGGTGACAATGATCTTTCCCCGCTGGATGGAGACCCATCGGCATGCAGGGGCTTCCCAACCAAGTATATCCCACCAGCAGGGCACTGCCAAAGTCGGGACTAGCAATAAGTTCTCAACTGGTCTTCCAGCATGTGTGGTAGTGTAGTGCATGTAAATGTAAGTAAGGGGTGAGGAAAAGACAAGGAGGAGGAAGGAATGATTGTATGTGTGATCCATGGACCGTTTGTTAGGGCAATCAGAGAATCCCCAGAAAACTACAGATCAGAGTAGCTGACTGCTTGAATTCTCCTTCAGACAGTGGCTGAATTCAAACTGACTGTGTAGGTAGTGTGGAAAATCCTGGCTCCATCAGGACTCATACCCTTTTCAGTTTGAACGAGAGGTCAAAGGAACTGCTGGTTTTCCATTAATGTGAGCATTGCTGATAGTTGTTTGTGGAAAAAACACTTTTTCTCTTAAAGGAACTCCAAAATTAAATATTTTTTCGAATTCTAAAGAAAATCTATTACCAAATTTTTTAGTGGACTTCAGTTGTATTGCTTTGAACTTGTTTTTAGGCTAAAAATATCTTATACTAATGGTGTTACAGAACAGCATAGACTTTCTCATACTAGTTAGCTTTCCAATTTCTATGGTAGGGGTCAGCTTTTTGGTCTTGCCAGCTGTCATGTATCGCCCCCTGAAGTCCTTTTTTTCCCCCTCCTAACCATAGAACTAAAATATTACTTTATAAATATTGTTGAAGAGTGAAACCTTGTCCTACATGGATATTTTCTTTGAAAAGTTTGGGGCCGCTTTAAAGAAAATATATTGTAAGCATAACTGCAAATCCGAAATATGAAGCTCGTTTTGCACTGAAAATCTTTTGATTTTTTAGGGAAACTTCATTGGAAGTCATTAGGAGCTCTTCCACTTACAAGGGCAATGTATGTGGATGTAATGTATACAAATTGCTGGAAATGTTCATGTTAATGACATGAGAGAAATTTCCAAAAATTACAGATCTGTAATTTTTTTTAAAAACAGAAGAATACAGCAAAATGACTTCATGTCATCATTAGCAGTGTTTTTATTTAGAATGATCTGTAGGAAATGTTTAAAGAAAAAATTTCAACAATTTTTGAGAAAATAATGTTCAAAGGTTTCTGAAAATGTGGAAATTTAATCTCATTTTCACAGAAAACGTTTGAGTTTTCATGATATTTTAGAAGACATCATTCAAAGCATGTGTACTCATAAATGCAATAATGTGAAAGAATTACCACTGTTTCACACTAACACCAATAACTGGACTTTCTTTGATGCTTAGGTGAAAAAACTCGAAGTATAATGGAATTTACAATTTCTCTATAAGATAAATTTTGATCTGTTAATGTTAAACAGAAATTGAACTGAATTGCTCCTGCACTTATTTTTTATTATCTATTATATAGCAATTATATTCATTCCTGCTTTGTTTGCATACTTCTATCGATTGAAGTTCATCCCCACCCAACTTGACCTGTCCCCTCTCGATACCCCCAGTCTAGTTCTCTCATTTTTAGTCTAAAGTAATTAAGAAATCTGTACTAAAAGAAAATTTAATAACTTTTCTCACATCTATGCTTTTTGAGGAGTTTTGTGTATCAAACCCTACAAAAATCTCCAAATCTATCATAGTTTTAGCATCAATGTAAGTTTTTACATAGCTTTTATTCACGAATTTTTTCCATTGATTTCATATCTCTTGTACATGTAATACTTCCATGATTAGATGTAATTAAGAGTTTCCAACTTTCCTGTAGAAATATTGCATATGTGAAGAAAGACCGTCAAAGGGATTTTTTCTTCTTCTAAGCATTAGGGAGCGTTTTGCGCTTGGGAGTTATCCTCCTTTAATTAGTGCACTTAGGAGTTATCTTCCATTACTTGTATAAGTCATTATATGTCACGTCTAATTGCAGTCAGTTGTCAAGAGGACCACCTGGTAGCATCTCCCTGTACATGCCTCCTACCACACGCTCCTGCGCCACTACCCAGTGGCCAGAATTGTGAAGGAATTAGGATAAGGATAGGGTTAATGATACTTCACAGGGGTTCAACTAGCCCTTGTGAAGTAGCCAAACTAATTTTGTTGGAACAAGCTTCACATGAAATTGTTCGTGAATCAAACCTGGACCTCCTTGGTGAAAGGCAAGCTACTTCGCTCTTAGCCACCAAGCCCGCTCAAATAGACAAGGTTCGTATTATACTACAAATGCTCACTTGGCCTCAGGATACTTCTTAGGCAGTTACAGTTCTCTACTCTTTGTTGACGTTTGATGTTTTGATTTTAATAATGTGTAAGCTACCATTGTTGGGCTGTTTATACTCAAAGTAATTTTGTGGTAATATTTAAAGTCACAACTATGGTTTGTTTGATTATTGGTCTCTTTCAAAAGTATTTGTGGCAAATTTGATTTCAATTAATCCATTGGTACTAAAATGTTTGCAACACATTCCATTGAAAATAACTTCATTCTTGTAAGAGAAGATAATGTTTCTCCCATGAAATTCAATGATCCATTTTAATTTCATAGGACCTCAAATTGAGCTAGATCAATCTGGGTATATTGATATTTGAAAAATTCCTATGTGAGGTTTTGGTGATAAACATTTTTTGCTGCGAGACGTTTTTTGAGAAAAGAGGGAAAAGGAGAGAGAGATTTTAGTACCCCTGAAACTTAGGTTACATTCAAAGGAGGTATCCCTAAAACGTGTGTCAAAATGTGTAAACTGTTGTGTATGGCTTGATAAAAAAAAGTTTGCCATTCTTACCTCTGTTTCGTGGAAGAAGGAATGGGTGTCATTAGTTTTCTCTGCCCAGAAATCTAAACAAAACATTCTTAATGCTTAAAGAAATATCTATGAATGCAAATTAATAAACTTGGATTAATTAATTCCGTACACAAGTAAACAATTTTGAATTAGAAATAAGAGGTAGTCTTGCAGATGAGTTGTTGGTTTTCCAGCCCTTTTTGCCAAGTTGATAGTTAATTATAGCAATCAATTTTGAACAGTTATTCAGAAATTTTTGTAAATGTCTTGATCCTTATGTAAAGTACTCTAGTGTACATCAAACATTATATTGGGAACCTTTGAATGATCACTTTTGAATAGCAGAAAAAGTGTTTTACAAATTCTCCATTTTCCACAGATTTGTAGTATGTTCTAATGTAAATTGTACCATCAAAAAGCTTCTATAACAGATACAGCTGTAGAAATAAAACGCTTCTTGCTTCAGACTAGGTAGCAACATGAACACAGATTAGAAAGTATTCAAAGGAAGTTTTGTGGGTTTCAAAGAGAAATTTGTTAAATATATGATAAGTGTAGATGGGGAGGCCAGTAGACCATTTTCTAGAAATCATCTCATTAGTAATCTCTCCTAAAAAAATTACTTCTTGAGCAAATTATTATAGAAAATGTTTGCACGTTGTTTTCATTCCCTAATTCATGATCTAGAATCATTCTTACGAATAAGAGGAGCATTATTATTAAATAAAGATTTGCCATTATGAACTTCCCCAAATTTTCCTTCACTTTTGTCATCAAACTTAAAACTAAGAAGCTTAAAAAGAATAGAGTGAATTTGGTTTCCAGTAGTTCATTCTTAATTCTTGTCCTATCTGTTACAACTGTATTCACAAGCCTAGATATAGCAGTATTTTACTCCCTTTTTTTAAAAATTTTTTTTTGTCATGACTGTCTTATTATTGATATTTGATTATTTAAATATGGTCTTATATAATTTTATATATAGTCAAATTATTAATTATTGTGGGAAAACTGTCAAATATATGTAATTTAATTCAGGGAATATAATTTAATCTAGGTAATTACTAAAATATTTTCATATTCTTCAACATGACAACGTTTAGGGGAGATGTCTTATACTCTTCATTAGGTACTTTAAAAATAATATAAAGTCATATGTTACTATACCAGCACAGTTCCTTTCCTTTAATTTAATGACAATGTTGGTCCTCATCTCAAATAGTATAAAGCATGTCCTGTGATCAATCTTTGCATTGCTCTGATCAATCTTTTAATCAAACGTTTTTCAGTAATTTAATATAAGACAATAAACTCAGACGTAATTTTATGTCATGAATAATATGGCTTCGTGAATTTATAACCAATGAAACCGGATGATTTAGAATTACTTTTTTTTTGAGCTAATAAAAAGATTATGTAGAATTTATTATAGAAACATTGAACAGAAATATAAAGAATTCAGATAAAAAATGAAATAATTAGTCCTAATTTGTTCCACAACATTACTGATAAGGAAATACCAGATGCTATTGTTGTAACCATTAATCTAGGATGTAACCTTGCATTCCCGAATACAAAAAACTGTAAGAAAGAATTAGTAATTTGCATAATAAAGGAATTTGAAAAGACAGTTTATATATTACCAAAATTCAGCTAAGAATGCATTATCATGAGCAGTTGCAAAATTTATTAATAAACCTACTAAATTACATAAACGTAATCAAGAAATTAAAACTGTCAAAACAATCTATACGATGCAATCCCGATATATTTTTTATTGAAAGAGACAAAAGAGGTGCACATGAAGCTATTAAGAAAGAAAAGTATTACGAAAAACTTGAATTAGAATTTAATGATAAAATTTAATGTTGGGTTTTACATTAATATAGCACTTTTACAGAAAAAAAGAACATCCAAGACATAATAAAAAGATGAAAAACTAATCTTTATACTGATAAATAAACTTATTATAAATTATACTTCGCTATGGGATATACAGCAAGTGCCAAATGCTTAAAATACATAAAGAATCCCCACCTTTTAGAACTGTAGTTTCTACAATAGGGACACCGTCATATAAACTTTGCAAATTCTTTAATGTTGTCCTTAAACCTTAATTAAAGAATGAGTTTATGTATTCAGTTAGTTATGAACTTGTAGAGATGATAAAAAAAATACAATACCAGAGATGCACATCATAGTTTCTTTTGGTGTAGTAGGAATGTGTTCATCTGTTCCTCATGAACTCGTACATCAAGGTATAAATAACTATTTAAATAAAGAGGGATGTAAATTGTTGATTTCAAAACAAGAAATTCTTATAGTCGTTAGATTCATTCTTCATAACATTACTT